TTCAAATCTTCCCCTAAAGGAGTTAGACAGATGATCAGCACGACTATATTGTTAAAGGAAAAGTATAATGTACAGGGGCAAGCGACTACTATTTGAAATGGAGAGCATATATTTTTAATTAAATAAATTAAAATATATATGAATAAAAATTGCAGCACGGAATTTTCACGATGTTACAACAAACAATTGCACGTTTTCTTATAAATTTCTTTACCAAAAAAAATCAGAAGACATTAATTTTCATCTTATAATCTCTACAATTCCTATTCGTCTCCAACATGGTATAGATAGAATTTCAATTTAAAAGTGTGTTATTGATTTTCTGAAGAGTTTCGTAGTAAAATTTATCATTTAGGTTTATTTTTGTTTCATTTTATTTTTCTCAACTGTCCTTCCTTTTTATATTTACTTGAAAGAGACTTTGGTGAGTCCTTTATCATTTAATTCTTTATTTAATAATTAATTTAATACTAACATTTATTTACGTTAATACATAGAAAAATAAATAATTATATATTTATAAAGCAGTAAAAGTACAAATATAATTTTGTGTTAGTAAATCTTAGTTCATAATAATATTATTATTTTTAATTAACAAGGATTTGGGAATTTTGTAGACCTATACATTTCTACTGTTGTCTGTCCTTCCATACTGTCGAGAACGATGTAGACAGATGGATGGAGAGAGCAGATATGGAAAACTTAATGGCAGAAGACCCTGATTAAGTGTACATGTACTTCCGGTTCGAGTCGAAGATGATGTTATTTTACCTCAAATATTCTCTGTGAACGGAGTTAGATACATTGCAGGCATGAGTTTTCTGTTATTTAACAGGGAAAGGATGTTGTACAGGAGAAGATACAACTAAATTTACGTGCATTATGACTACCTTCGCTCATAATAATAGCTTTTAACTGATTTTTGAAACAGTCAATAATGGTAATAATGATTTTTATTGAAATTACCATTATTTCTTATTTATTGTATCTATTTTCTCTTTAATAGTTGTAGGGGCATTGTGATATACTCTATCTTTAAGATAGCCCCATAAAAAAGAATCACATGGGTTTAAGTTGGGACTATAAGCTAGCCACTCCACGCCACCACCAGCATATTTTTCATGATCTAATCCTGTTTTTACCCTTATTAAATACAGAAATTTCTATTAATATTATTCAAATATCACTGGAATCAATTGTGAGTTAAAAATGATTAATTTTCATTGTTTCTGTAAATCAATCGGTTTATGGCGATAGATAAAACAATGACTTTCAAGATTTATACGTTTTTGAACTCAGAATACCTTGAAACGTCGAGAAATACAAAATAAAATCGGGGTTTTTCCTGTGTGTATGGACGTTAATGTGTGTGGGGGCAAAATTTTGTTTGTTCACTCTATTTGAATCTTAATAACTTCTGTGCATTTTCTCCAAAATTTATGAAATTTCTCAAGGAGGTTTGCGTATAAAGAAGATTGAAGCTATTATATTTTGGTGATTAAAGATCGAGGGATAAAGAGATAAGGGGGGGCCGTGTGTCGTATCTCAAGTAGGGTCGGAATTAATGACGATTTTACTCATTAGCATTTACAGTTTTTTTTATAAAACCCATCCCTACTCTCACAATTAACCTTTTTGATATTTCATAATCATTAAAAGTATAAAAAAATTAGTTTTTTAAATAAAATAACAAGAAATGGTAACAATAATAGAAACAAATTGTTATGCCAGATTTGTAGTTGCAGGTTGTCCTCTGGCTAGTTCATGTGCAAGAAGTCACGATCCAATTGTAGAATTTTCAGAAAAGTATGCCCTTACGTAGTAATTCTTCATCCTCTCCATACAAATGCTAACATTTTTGAAGCATCTTGTGTATATAAATAGGAAATACATATAATAAACTCTTTATTGTAATAAGTATCAATGTTATAACAATTTTTTTTTTCAGTGTCGAACAGATTTGTTTACGCATCACTTAATAATACATCACCATTTTTCTTATGTGATAAAGCCATTTTTAATGCTTTTTTTTCCTAAATAAAAATGTTTATTTTATTTATATTTTTGTTATATTTATTTCATTGACTGCAATACAATTAGTTACTTGTGTAAATATATCTGTATTAGTCTATAATAATTATTTTAATTATTATAATTAAAATAAAGTGTGATGTATTAATACTATTTTAATGTACGTATTCACTAGCAGACATCCAGAAAATATTTTAACGTTTTACTTAAGGATAAAAATAAGTAAATAAAATAAATTTTTATTTAAAAAAATTAAACTTCGAGAAAAAAAATATTAAATACAGATAAATTAATTTCGTGATTTAATTAAGTTTATAATTGTTTTTCTTTGTACCATTTAAATTAATTATATTTTTTTTATAAATTAAATTTGTATCTTCCAGAATAAATGTTTTTGTTATTTATTATATTAATTTATTTATTTTGTGTTACATCAAGTCTGACACTTGTAGCATTTCATTCATTTAATTCAATTGAACTAATTAGTTTTTATATAGAAGAACAAACTAAAAAATACAATAGAGAAGTCTGTGGCTCGTAAACATACAGTCGATTCCCCCTATAACACTGTTGATTATTCCATTTTATATGAATTCCATGTTGTACGAGTCACTTAGATTTTACAAATACGTGAGACGTTCACAGCCCGGCACATGTATTTGTAAAATCTAAGTGACTCGTACAACATGGAATTCATATAAAACGGAATAATCAACAGTGTTATAGGGGGGTCGACTGTATGTTATCCTGGATATAACGAAATTACATGGGATTAAATCGGGGCTATAAGGCATCCACTCCACGCCACCACCAGCATATTTTTCATAATAAAATCTTATTACATGCTTCCTAAACATGCTGTAAAAGCATTTAAACTCTTGCATTGTACGACGAGCCTTGCAACATTTTGCATAAATCAAGCACGACGATGTTTATGCCCAACAGGCATTTTAGGATAGAACTTCTTTTTCAATAATTTAACATTTGTAACAGAAGTAACGTGGAGTGCCAATGAATACTCAAGAATGGAGCTTCCTTTTAAATATTAATTAGAGAATTTTGATAATTCTCTAATTAATATTTTGCCTGTGAATTAATAAATATTATGATATATTTTCACAAATGTCCCCGAAATGTTCAAACTGAAACATAGTTAACTGACTTTTTGTCACTCTGCATTTGAAACTTTCAATCAATATCACCGGGAGTTCTTTTTTACATTGTTAACAGCTCATTATATTTGATTTTGATATGTAAACTTTCAAAACTTTAAAATAAACAATCAGAAATTCTCACCTTTTTATTCATATTTTCAAAATCGTAAGATTCGACGTGTTCTTGCAGACTAGGAAAAGGATTATCTAATCGCAAATCGTATAACGTATCGTCCGGATGAGATTCCGTAACTGAAAAACCAAAACATCTTTCATTATCGTTCCTAACATATAAAATATAAGTAATTTAAAACTACAAACCAGTATGTTCTGTAACTTGGAGTCTCATATAACCAACCATACCGTAAGATCTGCATACTAAAAAAGGAATGTTGGCTTCCCATAGTTTCTCAGACAGAGTTAATAATGTTCTGAAAATGTATTTGAATAAATTATTTGCGATCAAATTAATTATTAGATTCAATAAATTAAATTTTTTTTACTTTTCTGTTAGAGATGTCCCAATAACGACAGAAAAATTATTGAAAAATGTCGAATTTGCTTCTAATAACTCTTCAGGTGTCTAAAAATGAAAACGGTTCCATAAAAATTCTGTTAATATACAACATACATATTAATTTTAAAAATTTCTGAAGCTTTCACATGTCTATATAAATCATGTTTTAACCTATAATGTTGTCAAGGTGACTTCTTAAAAATCTTCTGTATATTAAAGCAGGGAACAGACTAATAAAGAAGATCGATTCTGCTATGCAATTCTGTAATACAGGACAAGGTTTCCCTTACCAATTTAAGTTATCGTAATTATGTTAATTATTATCTGAAAACACTGAAAAACTGTCCAAGCTTCACATTTGCCTATTACAATTTCTCAATGTGTGCCTTGTGTCATATGGCACACATCAAACCACAATACTCTAACTCTTCCTAAGCTCGCTACATCATATCCCGTCATCACTCCTCCTACGGTTGCCACAATTCTTTGGCTCCTGCAAATTACTTGTGTTGCGCATTGATGAATTTTAATTATATATGTTATCAGATGGTATATTTAAAAAATAAAATAGAGAATCATTTGTACAACTCCACTGATTAGTGTTTTTCATTAAGAAAATATAATACAGTAGAACCTCGATTATCCGGACTAATTGGGGATGAAGGTAGTCCGGATAAGGAAAAATCTGGATAATCGAAAATCTGGATAATGGAGGTTCTACTGTAGTTTTAAATACAGTAGGAATTTGTCAATTAAACAACCTCTGAAAAGTAATAGTAATCCAAGATTATCCAATAATCTGGCATTCTAGTATTCCATAAATCTGAATTTGCGCAAACGTATAATGCACTAAAGATCCTAAGTGAAAATCAAGGTTTGAATGGGAGATGTAACTGTGCATGTTGTTACCAGGACTGTGCTAAACTAACATTTTTATATTGATACAAGGCTTGATACTGAGATTCAATTGATATATCAATACTGAATACCAAAATATTGAACACGAAATACCGAAATATCAAATGTCAACATTGATACATTCTATACTGAANTTTTTCATTAAGAAAATATAATACAGTAGAACCTCGATTATCCGGACTAATTGGGGATGAAGGTAGTCCGGATAAGGAAAAATCTGGATAATCGAAATAATAGTTTTAAATACAGTAGGAGTTTGTCAATTAAACAACCTCTGAAAAGTAATAGTAATCCAAGATTATCCAATAATCTGGCATTCTAGTATTCCATGAATCTGAATTTGCGCAAACATATAATGCACTAAAGATCCTAAGTGAAAATCAAGGTTTGAATGGGAGATGTAACTGTGCATGTTGTTACCAGGACTGTGCTAAACTAACATTTTTATATTGATACAAGGCTTGATACTGAGATTCAATTGATATATCAATACTGAATACCAAAATATTGAACACGAAATACCGAAATATCAAATGTCAACATTGATACATTAAATACTGAATATCAATATCATAAATACACAGATATACACAAGATATATCTGTAAAGTATATCTTGAAGTATACCATATTACATTCCAGACTACTACCAGAAAGCAAATCACAGCCTTTTATCACTTGCAAGTGTTCATAAAAGCCTAAAAACATATTTATGCTATCATTTCTTATGCATGCAATATCACTAAACCTAAAAAAATTATGCAAAACTAAAAATAATCCTTTAATGGTAAAGCGAGTACTTCAAAACAATTACGAATGTAATTGAAAATATTGTATTAACAAAAGCAGCCTAAAACAAAGTACCTTAAAGAGATATATACCTGTACATAAATATTAATGCATATGTTTTAAAGTCCAAAATCATTTTTAGTTATAAACATAATAATATGTATGGAAAAAACTAAAAACATATCAGAGATATCTCTTTAGTTCTTCCCATACGTATTATTATTGTCTCTAAATACATATTTCAAGTAGAGATTGCTCCACATAGAGTAAGTCATGCATTTGAATAAATAATTTAAAACAATTTCATTAATATTTAAGCAAATAATTAGATATAAAGAACAGATACTTAGATTTGTTTACTTACCTCTTCAAAACAGTCTCCTCGTACATCTGAATTCAACTCTAGAAGATACTGGGTAGCCACTTGTGCTCTGGACTAAATCATATATAAATTGATCAAAAAAAAAAAAAAGGCTTCATAGTATAAAATTTTAAAAAATTGATCTAAGAATACATACTTTTCCAATACTTTCTTTATCAAGGAAAAAGCTATAACCAAGTTTTAAAAATAAATAAATATAAATGTACCATACATACATACATACATACATGCTATATATATCATATATTTTTAAACTACACGTTTTATGACGTTTATACAGTTTAAATTTGCATATATTGCTATACTACTTAAAAATTGAATAAATAAAATAAATATTTCTTTACATAATAATCAATAATTTTAATTTAATTTATTAATTAAATGTATTATATACATATTTGCTACTCTGTGGGAGCTAAGAGAGCATTTCATCAGGACTGCTTGCTTGGATTCAATCCCTGGTCTCCCCGAGTCCATCAAATATATCAAATGGATAGCCTACGAGGCTAATGCCTTAACCTGCTTGGCAATCCGTTTGATATATTTGTCCCATTAAAGTTGCTTTTATTAATGTATTTAACTTATTTAACTCTTATAGTGATTTTTTTAGAATTTATTTTTGTTGCAAGTAAAGATTTAACTTTATATATTAAACATAACTATGAAAAAGTATTTTAGAAAAAAAGAAATTTGTTAATATGATCTTTGTAGATAAAATCTAAATGTTTCCTTGCTTCTGAAGCATTTAAAAGTATCAAATATCTAGGTTTCTATTTTATTAAAGTCCCAGTTATATGATGGTTATTTTTAGATCACTATCCAATATATGCGTACTTGTCCTAGTAATTATTGGTGTACTTGTTTCACTTATTTAAATAATATTGTGCTTTTTTACTTTTGCTTTTTTATGTAATTAATAATTTTGATTTTTATTACTTTCTTTTTCTAAACTAAAAACTGGAATATAGATAGATCAGTTGATAATTCTTATAGGAAGCAAAATTACTTACTTATTACCAACATCCTCTCCAGTAATCTTGTTACCGTCAACTATTGTAAAAGCTCCTATACCTATAATTAAAAGATAAAATACAAAAGTTAAGTTTCTTTAATTCTGTAATATTTAAATTTAATAATAAATTACTAATTTTTTATTATTATTTAGTATTCGAATTCATACTTTAATTTCAAAATGACACACCTCCAATAGCCGTGTAACATCAGGCTATAATTTGATAATAATAATTTCAACACACTTACTAAAACACCTTTTCTTGCAGCCGACGCTTTATTATAACAACTTTCGTATTATTTCTGCAGATCTTTAGTACTAAGGTTCTATATTTTTTGGCCGGCGGAGCCAAATTGTAATTCTTTCTAGACTGCATATTGTAATATCAACACACTTACTAAAACACCTTTTCTTGCAGCCGACGCTTTATTATAACAACTTTCAAACGTTTTCGGTCTTGTTAAAAGACCTTTCTCAAGAAAATAAAATTAACTAAGTAACAAAATAAACACCACAATCGTAAATCGAACGCTTAGTACGAATAACTGTTTTTCTTTATTATAACAACTTTCAAACGTTTTCGGTCTTGTTAAAAGACCTTTCTCAAGAAAATAAAATTAACTAAGTAACAAAATAAACACCACAATCGTAAATCGAACGCTTAGTACGAATAACTGTTTTTCTTTATTATAACAACTTTCAAACGTTTTCGGTCTTGTTAAAAGACCTTTCTCAAGAAAATAAAATTAACTAAGTAACAAAATAAACACCACAATCGTAAATCGAACGCTTAGTACGAATAACTGTTTTTCTTTATTATAACAACTTTCAAACGTTTTCGGTCTTGTTAAAAGACCTTTCTCAAGAAAATAAAATTAACTAAGTAACAAAATAAACACCACAATCGTAAATCGAACGCTTAGTACGAATAACTGTTTTTCTTTATTATAACAACTTTCAAACGTTTTCGGTCTTGTTAAAAGACCTTTCTCAAGAAAATAAAATTAACTAAGTAACAAAATAAACACCACAATCGTAAATCGAACGCTTAGTACGAATAACTGTTTTTCTTTATTATAACAACTTTCAAACGTTTTCGGTCTTGTTAAAAGACCTTTCTCAAGAAAATAAAATTAACTAAGTAACAAAATAAACACCACAATCGTAAATCGAACGCTTAGTACGAATAACTGTTTTTCTTTATTATAACAACTTTCAAACGTTTTCGGTCTTGTTAAAAGACCTTTCTCAAGAAAATAAAATTAACTAAGTAACAAAATAAACACCACAATCGTAAATCGAACGCTTAGTACGAATAACTGTTTTTCTTTATTATAACAACTTTCAAACGTTTTCGGTCTTGTTAAAAGACCTTTCTCAAGAAAATAAAATTAACTAAGTAACAAAATAAACACCACAATCGTAAATCGAACGCTTAGTACGAATAACTGTTTTTCTTTATTATAACAACTTTCAAACGTTTTCGGTCTTGTTAAAAGACCTTTCTCAAGAAAATAAAATTAACTAAGTAACAAAATAAACACCACAATCGTAAATCGAACGCTTAGTACGAATAACTGTTTTTCTTTATTATAACAACTTTCAAACGTTTTCGGTCTTGTTAAAAGACCTTTCTCAAGAAAATAAAATTAACTAAGTAACAAAATAAACACCACAATCGTAAATCGAACGCTTAGTACGAATAACTGTTTTTCTTTATTATAACAACTTTCAAACGTTTTCGGTCTTGTTAAAAGACCTTTCTCAAGAAAATAAAATTAACTAAGTAACAAAATAAACACCACAATCGTAAATCGAACGCTTAGTACGAATAACTGTTTTTCTTTATTATAACAACTTTCAAACGTTTTCGGTCTTGTTAAAAGACCTTTCTCAAGAAAATAAAATTAACTAAGTAACAAAATAAACACCACAATCGTAAATCGAACGCTTAGTACGAATAACTGTTTTTCTTTANGTTTATTTTGTTACTTAGTTAATTTTATTTTCTTGAGAAAGGTCTTTTAACAAGACCGAAAACGTTTGAAAGTTGTTATAATAAAGAAAAACAGTTATTCGTACTAAGCGTTCGATTTACGATTGTGGTGTTTATTTTGTTACTTAGTTAATTTTATTTTCTTGAGAAAGGTCTTTTAACAAGACCGAAAACGTTTGAAAGTTGTTATAATAAAGAAAAACAGTTATTCGTACTAAGCGTTCGATTTACGATTGTGGTGTTTATTTTGTTACTTAGTTAATTTTATTTTCTTGAGAAAGGTCTTTTAACAAGACCGAAAACGTTTGAAAGTTGTTATAATAAAGAAAAACAGTTATTCGTACTAAGCGTTCGATTTACGATTGTGGTGTTTATTTTGTTACTTAGTTAATTTTATTTTCTTGAGAAAGGTCTTTTAACAAGACCGAAAACGTTTGAAAGTTGTTATAATAAAGAAAAACAGTTATTCGTACTAAGCGTTCGATTTACGATTGTGGTGTTTATTTTGTTACTTAGTTAATTTTATTTTCTTGAGAAAGGTCTTTTAACAAGACCGAAAACGTTTGAAAGTTGTTATAATAAAGAAAAACAGTTATTCGTACTAAGCGTTCGATTTACGATTGTGGTGTTTATTTTGTTACTTAGTTAATTTTATTTTCTTGAGAAAGGTCTTTTAACAAGACCGAAAACGTTTGAAAGTTGTTATAATAAAGAAAAACAGTTATTCGTACTAAGCGTTCGATTTACGATTGTGGTGTTTATTTTGTTACTTAGTTAATTTTATTTTCTTGAGAAAGGTCTTTTAACAAGACCGAAAACGTTTGAAAGTTGTTATAATAAAGAAAAACAGTTATTCGTACTAAGCGTTCGATTTACGATTGTGGTGTTTATTTTGTTACTTAGTTAATTTTATTTTCTTGAGAAAGGTCTTTTAACAAGACCGAAAACGTTTGAAAGTTGTTATAATAAAGAAAAACAGTTATTCGTACTAAGCGTTCGATTTACGATTGTGGTGTTTATTTTGTTACTTAGTTAATTTTATTTTCTTGAGAAAGGTCTTTTAACAAGACCGAAAACGTTTGAAAGTTGTTATAATAAAGAAAAACAGTTATTCGTACTAAGCGTTCGATTTACGATTGTGGTGTTTATTTTGTTACTTAGTTAATTTTATTTTCTTGAGAAAGGTCTTTTAACAAGACCGAAAACGTTTGAAAGTTGTTATAATAAAGCGTCGGCTGCAAGAAAAGGTGTTTTAGTAAGTGTGTTGATATTACAATATGCAGTCTAGAAAGAATTACAATTTGGCTCCGCCGGCCAAAAAATATAGAACCTTAGTACTAAAGATCTGCAGAAATAATACGAAAGTTGTTATAATAAAGCGTCGGCTGCAAGAAAAGGTGTTTTAGTAAGTGTGTTGATATTACAATATGCAGTCTAGAAAGAATTACAATTTGGCTCCGCCGGCCAAAAAATATAGAACCTTAGTACTAAAGATCTGCAGAAATAATACGAAAGTTGTTATAATAAAGCGTCGGCTGCAAGAAAAGGTGTTTTAGTAAGTGTGTTGATATTACAATATGCAGTCTAGAAAGAATTAAGGTAATAATAATTATAAATTACTAATAAATTTTGACCCTACAGGGAGGCATTAGGCACCATCTCATGTATGAGATAAGAAATGACGCCTAACGCGGTGTGTCATTGCAATGTATCGGGTAATTAAGTTGTTTACATTTATAATTTTAAAATATATTTTTAATTATACCTGGTAATATAATATTTTTTAATATTTCTGTTCCTGTTGCTGTGGCGTTAACTAAACAGATGTGAGCTCCTTCCAGTGCCGTCTGGCCGTGATCGCCCCACAACCTACAAACAAAAACAAATGCACACGTTACTTATTAAACATAAATAATTATAGCAAGAAGAATAGAATATTTATTTTTAGAAAATGCGATAGAATATATGAATTAATTCCTGTAATTTAATTTTTGTAAAAGGCACATTCTGTACACATCATTCTTCACGATGACATGAAAATGCATTGTATATGTTCTCACATTAAGCAGTTAACAAATGAGTGCTCATCAATGATGAAATGATGGATATTGTTGATAAAGATGCAGTAAGCAGCGACAATAAACCTGGTGTTTCTTACACAACCCACAAAACATGTCTCTTGTCAACATACAAAAGCTGCCTTTACCTTTTTCTATGTTTAGATACATAAATACTTATCGTTGTGTTACAATTGCATAGCACATAGCCTATAATAGTAGTATATACTGTACGATATAGATTTGTCTAATTACAGTGTTTGATGTTTACTTAATGATATATTTCTCAGAACATATCCCATATCCCTTTCATTAAGAGGCATATACATGTAGTCTTTCCAATATTATGCATAGATCCTGCATGTTAATAAGCATGTAATTCATATTTTCATTGTACAGTTAAACCTCAATACAGCATTGTCCTAAACAGAACCAACCTTATAGAATCAATGAATACATGTAAATGAATCTTTTCTTTAAACTATAGAAAACTTTTCATTTTCTTTGAATTGTAGAGTTTGAAAATCATATGACATGGTAAGAACAATGTCATTTACAATAACTTGTCATTTGCAAAACTGTATATTTAGTCATTTACAGATGTTGAATGGTTTATATCTTTTACTTTTATAAATTCTGATCTGGCAGAATATCAAATGTGTTAAAATGCCAAGCAGACCTATACACTTAGTGTCTTATGTTACTTTTCATTTATCATTTTACATCACCTCAACTGGACTGTATCTATTAACTAAAACATATCAACTAACTTTATAAATGCTGTTTAGGAAGAAAGTATCGTGTCAGAACAGCCAGCCAGACAGACAAGGAAATTAAGGCATCAGTGTACCACTCTGGGAAATAGACATTACTTTTAGATTATTTAGTTATTTAAATATATGTACACAAATTACCAAAAAGTAACTTCTACCTTCTGGGGACCTGGGATCAAATTCAGGAGATCAAATCTATTCGGAAAGTTTTTGGGGATGGGTCCCAGATTTGTTGAGTCCAGTCCTTCGTTATCCGGCCGCCCTCACCAAGGTACAAATGAAGCGCCAAACAGACAGGCGGCGGTACTTTATCTAAGCCATAGGCCATGCCCATAGTTGTAAAAAGTCAAAAGGAACCAATGGTCATATGGCTCTTAGCAAGATAGAGCCCCTGAAATTTTATCCATGTTAGACATGTAATAAACTTAATTAATACCAAGCATAACTCTGATTGCAACCCAGAAGCAATGAGTGCAATAGTGTGTTCTATTTTATGAACTTTTGGCCATTTACAGTAAAGTGGAAAACAGTTGATTTGGTACTTTTCTGGGACACCAGCCATACGTACAGCAAAGGGTAAGATTCAAGCTCCGAGTGAAGGGTTTCACACCATCCCAGAATTGTTGACCCTTTGATATATTTGCCTCTAATGGTCAGTTTTTAACACATATCAGTATTCTGCATGCTTTGCATGTAGACATGCCTTCGGTGCCCGGGTGGGACCAAGCCCCCACATCCCCATAAAATTATATAACATCAAGTACCCCACTAACAATCAAGTGGGCTTACTCAAAGCTGGCACAGTCACATGGGCTAAATAGTTAAACGCGATAGTCTTAGTGGACAACGGTATTGTGTATTGCATTAAAGTTACAATCGGCATCCTGTTAACAAAAAAGAACTTAACTGTTATAATTATTATGTTGTTGCCATGTGTTTGTAAGCTGATGAGAGATCCTTGTACCCGAAATGCATCCTTACCTAAATTTGAAATGTGATTATTAAAGACTAACTTTTTTGTAAAAGTTCTGGTCCTTCTTTTTGTCGGCCTCGGTGAGATAAGCCCTCCAAATTGTTAAATCCTATTTATTAGGTTATCTAACTTTATCTAATCAAAAAAAGAACTGTTGATTTTTAGCATTGCTTCAGATTTTTTCACATTTAAATTTCATCTCACATTTGCATTCTTCAACATTCCAGACAGACCAATTTCGGGGTGGGTTACAACTCGCAAAGGATCAGACCATCGATTCACTGGACCGTTTTACTCCAAGGGCGCAAACTGACAGCTCCAAAAAGGTCACAACCGTTTCGCTCAAAGCCGCATTTGTATCCTGGCGGAACACATGGTGCACCTGAATAAAAACCCCTTTTAGGGTTCTTAGTGAACAGGGAAGAAGAGCAAAAAACAGAAACATCTGAGAATATTTGCTTAAAAATGTAGAATAAGTATTCTCCTCTCTCTTAGTCTGTTAATTCTTTTAGATCCTGGCTAACGAATGGAAATTGACATATAATACTTGTAATGTTTACATTATGTCAGGAGCAATGTCAAATGAATGAAACCTTTTGTCTTAAAGAGCATGCAATCAGTTCAATTATTATTTTAACCGATACGTGAACTTTGAACTTTGTTTTATAAAGTGGCTAAAACTGCGATTTCAATTGAAAATAATATATAACTCGCCTGAGCTGCCTGTCATATTTTTTACTCTTTTCGTTATCCGGCGATTTCGGTTTGCAGCATGCCATTACTCCGACTTCCATCTTTACAGTGTTGCCAGACAAAATACTGCCATTCATAGACATCCGTCCAATAATTATAATATATTTTTTTTTTTTTTTTTAGTTTGAAATGCAGTCGTGTAGCATAATTAAATTAAAAAATAAATAAGTTTGTGTATTTTTTTTTTTCATTTTCATTTGTCCTCTTTCTACAAACGTATAAAGTAAAATATAATCGAGAATGGGAGTTACGTCCGGCCCTTCTTACGGAAGGATGATACGCATCCATGTTGCCACATCGGCGGCTGATTTATTTATGATTTATTTAAGTTTCTACTTTTAAATAAATTTATATACTTTAATTACCTGCTGGATTTATAAAAAAAAATTATATCTTTTGTTAGGATAATTTACCCAGAAAAAATTCATAACGTATTCTCTCGTTCATTCGGGTCGATTTCTAAAACGTCTGGCATTTGATTTAACGACTTTCCTGATGATAATGATAAGAACATTTACAATCGTATTTTAACAAACATCATAAGAACTANAGAAAAAAAAAGTCGATGGAAATCGAACCCAATTTTGAATTAAAATTGATTATCGGCGGCGGGCATTAATTTGTAAACATTTATTGATAATAAGGAAGAACATTCGAAGCATCCTCTGGCGCAATACAGGATAGAAGTAGAGGATATCCACCTTTAAAAAAAAAAGAAAATAATAATAATAAAAAGAATAAAGTGAAGTTTGGTAAAGGAAACAAGTGACTTGTAACACGAGAGGCAAAAGACACTTCATTAATCATGGCTATGTGGGGTCAGGAGGCCACTTGGCTTTTGTGTTGTTGGCGAGGGTGGAGACGGGGCGAGGGGGACTTTTTTTTTTCCTTTCTTTCTTCCCAATTGGTTGATAAAGAAAAGCAATACTTGACTATGTCCCCGGATGAATGCATCTAAGCTCCTGCGGGGGGGGGAAGTTTATGTCAACAGAAAGTTCTTTTATAAATTTTCAACCAGAACAATCAATTCAATCTTTCTTCTTCTATTTTATTTTTTATTTTATTTTGTAAGTTTAGCTTTAGAGGATATCGTCTATAATCTTGTAAAATTAAGAAGTTCTTTCTTTTTCTTTTCTTAAATAAAATTAACAGGCCGAGAGTTTACACGCAAATTACGAGCCTTCGTAATACCAGGCTACATATTAAGGCCTGGTGATATCGTGTTATATACCTTAGGAACTTGCGGTATGAGGTTACATATTAAGGCTTCGCCATACTAGATTATGATTCAGACTATGTGTTATAAACTGTAGCTTCGTATACCACGCTACAGTTTAAGGCCTCGCTTATAAATTTATTATTATTTAGCGTAGAAGGAATGGCACCTCGGGCCACAATACACTTTAAGCGGAAGCCATTGTTTTTTTTTTTTTTTTCTTAAAAATAACGCGTTTTAAGGGTCCTTTTTTTTTGTGGATTAGGCGCAGATCATAGAAGAATTTCTACTCCTTGCTTCTACACCCCTCCGGATTAGAAGATGGCGCGTTGTTTTAATAAACAAAACAAAAAAATTGTCTTCCGGATGACGTAATTATCTGGAACAAAGAGTCCGGCAACGTTTGANATATCTTTTGTTAGGATAATTTACCCAGAAAAAATTCATAACGTATTCTCTCGTTCATTCGGGTCGATTTCTAAAACGTCTGGCATTTGATTTAACGACTTTCCTGATGATAATGATAAGAACATTTACAATCGTATTTTAACAAACATCATAAGAACTAGAAAGTAATGTTCGGGACCGGCGGAACGCTCTAAGCAGTTTATGCAAAGTATAGAAGCGCTTGATGCAAGGACGCCAATGACAGAGCATCTCGGATTCAAAAGTAGAATTTACTTTTCACTAAGCTGTCATTTTTATTTTAAATTATGCCTATTTTAATTACAGTTACAAATAATCAATTAATGAAAAATATCATATTAACGACAATTCCAGGATGCCATATAAATTCTTGCACGAAGGCGCCGAAGCACTCTAACCGCCTTTGGTAATGTTTGATCTTTCGTGATGTTTACAGTTTTCCTTCTAGCATCTTGCGTGCCATTGTGTATTCGCATATATTTGTCAGTGCGTTAAGTAGGTAGGGGCGACAAGTGTATAGGCACAGGGCGGGTCTAAGGCTGTCCGCGGACGAAAGGCGGCTCGTATCTTGGTATATGTAAAAAGACAAAATGGCGTCCGAAATGGAACTAACAGAAAAGTCGCCAAACATACTGTAATAATATTTTTTGTATATAGATATATGTGAGTGATTTCGTATAATTCTTGTGTACACAAATATTATTTATATAACAATTGTTTTATATTTATTTTATTACCCGAAAAATTCCTGGGATCGGGATGCGATCCTGGGTCTCTTGCTTGTATTATTTAATTATAACAGACGGCAGGATGGCCAAGCGGCCAAGGTACTCTGGGGATCCAGTTCGAATCCGGACGGTTCGAAAAAATCTCTAGGAATTTTTTGGGGGGTGATCTGTCCGGATATGTCGGGCCCCGTCCCTCACCAACCGGCCGCCGCATTGTGGGCTGGCCGAACTCATAATTGGCCTGCTAAAAGAGGCCCTCTTAGTGCCTACAGTATGGAAAAAGTTTTAAAAAATTAAATTTAAATTTAAACAATTCAAAAACACATAAATTTTGGTTTGTGGCATTATGTCTTAATCTATTTTGAATATCCCACTTAAATGCTTGATTTGAGATGACCATTTTAAATAATTTTTTACCCAGGCAGTGAGAATATAGGGCACCTTTTGAATAACCGTTACAGCTTCGACCAAATCTGCAAGATGGTGGCCGAATGAAAAGCTACAGGAATGTTTACGCTTTCACGAATTTCCTAATTACAATCCAATCCGAAAAAAATCGTAATTACAAACTGTATATTGGTTTAAGAATAAGTTCCTCAGTCAGTCGCTTGTTAGACAAAGAGCATTAAAAGGATCTTTTATTGAAGTCCATCGTGACGGGTCTCAGGGAATGGTTGGTTGACAAGGAAGAAACTGGGCCCATATCCAAACTGATTCACGCGCCGGCATAAAAACTTCAGAGGGTAATATCTTTGCCGTTTTGGTCATTCGGCCACCTGCCCATAAAGTCTGGTCCGTTATTTGGTCGTAACAACCTATTGTCTTTTCCTCCGAGTCTGCGATTAATTTAAATATCTTCAACAGAAACATCCTCAATTTGAAATCAGAAAACAAAAATTGAATCCAAAAATTGTGTTATTCAGTGATGAGGCCACGTTCGCCCGGAAAGACATGTTCAACAGACAAAACCAGCAGTTGAGCTGAAGAAATTCCACATCTCATTGACCGTCGTAAACACCAGCAAAGATTTGCCATCAGTATTTGGACAGGTATCCTTAGTGGTTGTCTGGTGGGGCCTTACCTCTTGCCAGAACGTCTGACCGGTGCAGCGTATCGTGTTTTTGGAGTAAGTACTTCCAGGTGTTCCGTTCACACAGAGGGACATGAGATTTAAGCATGATGGGTGCCAGCATACTTTTCCACCGAGATCCGTTACTTCTTAAATGAAACATATTCTGGGCGATGGATTGAACGTGGTGAACTTGTGGCTCGGCCTTCACGTTCCCCGGATCTTAATTCACTGAATTTCTTCTTCTGGGGCACACACCTGTGGACTCCCCGGAAGCCCTCGTCGCGAGAATCTTTGTTGCTGCGGACAAGATGAACACACGAGAGGGTGCGAGTCTTTCATTCGTACATTAATCGAGTATCAATAGCAATTCGTTACTATCCAGCGATACCAGTTATCAATAAACAATTTTCTCTTTACATTCTTTGTATTTAATAATAGCTTTTGTAAAAATCAGCTAACAGAATGGTCGGAGAGTGACTTTTGGCCTAGCCTATGTAAGAAAAATTCTCCTTTATTCATTTGGCACGTCTGTTCGAAATAAAATAAGTCACTTTTGATAGATTTTAAGTACTTAGATACAAGGCGTTGAAAGTTTTATTAGCTAAAAATTACATAAGAGAAGATCTGGTTAAGATAACTTTTTGAAAACATTGTTTATCTTGTGAAAGCTTCAGATTTAGAACAGGATAAAGAAAATAGATCAAGCCTTGTCATGATTTCTGACTTAAATTTTCATGGCCAAACAACACTTTTATCTGTTAAAAACATTCTTCCTTATCTGTTAAATGCAGATTAATCGTTTCGTAGTAACGACAGGTCCGAAAATGTAACTCATTATTACAGCTTGATATTTACCACGTCCATCGTTAAGTGTCTGGAAAGTTTCCTCATTATTTAAGCGAAATATATATGTTACTGTTAACATATTGATATACTGTACTTATATTTAGTAGCATATTAATGTACATGCTAGCGCACAATAATAAGTGAAAGTATCATTCAATATTAGCCTTTTGGAGGTAGTTTAGGAGGAAACTTTCCAGCTATGCACTTTAAATCTACACGACAAATATTTTAGGAACTCTCATCTCTTGTTTAAGTATCTTAAATATAATAATAACTCAATGTATCAATGCCATTATAAAGTGTCATGAATCCGTATTCGAATCTAAGGCTTTAGTGTTACTTTTTTCTTACAACTAGCTTGAATCAAGCATTCTTTAACTCCCTAGGGATCGTCCCCATAAATTACTAAACGCTATTTTTATACTTTTCAACTAACATCCCATCCCGTAACACTCCGTAACGCCGTCGCACACACCCACCCCCAAAATTACGCAAGGCGTATCGTCTATCGACTCCCTTAATTGTACTGAGGGGTAACGTGGTACCGAATGTTGTTTGTTAATTAATTACACGTAATGTTATTCATTACACATTTCAGAAACAAGAATGAATCATTGTTACTCAGGGGTTCGGATCCTAGCATCATGTAACACACACCCTCTTGTAACGAATCGTAACGATTACTTGCATACCCTGGCCTTATGTGATTTATATTTAGCCAATTCTTTAAATAAAATCGACTAAATTTTTTGCGTTTGATAGTATATAGGATGATCCCTTAACAAATAAGCGCCCAATTAAAAAACATATCGTGTCAGATATTTCTAGTATACAAACAGTAAAATAATTCCCGACTTAAATGCACAATTCGACGAAACTGTATACATAAAACTAATTCATTTATATATGAAAAATGACAGCATCAACTGCAGCGTGTAAACAAAAACTGTGTGTGTATTATATTATATTTTCCCATGTTTAATTGATAAGAAGGCATAAATGAATGCTTGTATTGTGTACTTAAGTAAACACTAATATAAACCGCGTGAACTCCGAAGAGAAACTTTAAATCAAAACTTTAGTAAACACGCGACTACACTCTGTCACGTGTTTACTAACACACCATCAAATAATCAAAATGACAAAGCGCAGTTATTTATTTTCCTAATTAACAATTGCTAAATTGTAATAAATGTCGAGTGCGTTTTTCAAACTATCAACACGTTTATCTACTTAAAAAACTGTACAAAATGGCCACCCCCCGTTAATGAGATTATGCACGAAACAACCCCACATTGTCACGAAATAAACAAACTTGAGATTCCCCTGTCAGTGGCATGTTAAATTATTACACTAAGTGACTTGTGTTGGTCGGACTTAAAAAAAGAGGGATGGAGCTTAGTAATTGGAAGGAAATCTTTTTTAAACAAAGCAATCAGAAAACGTGTACAAGAACACCATTCTACCCGCATTAAAATGTATGCAAAATGTTTATTGCCGTAAAATCTTTATACAAAACATTTGGCACAAATCGGCAATGGCACCTAAAAGCTAGACATGAAAAATAAATATTCTTAAAAAATATTGTTTTGGTTTGTTTTTTTTTGTTCTTTAAAATGTCGATGACTTATATAATCATGTAAATATATATGTATATATGTATAGTGTATGTATACATCGGTAACTTGTTAGTATACGTGAGTATGACGTATTGATCTTCGGTCACCTGATCATGCCGGCCACTTCCGGATCGGCTTTGAGGACATCCAATTGCTGAGCTCGAACTCTTCGATGTCCGGATCTCAGGGAGTGCACGGAACGTCCCGAACGAACTGAAGTTAACGAACGCGAAGACTTGAGGCTCCCCGGTCGGCGATTAACAATACGTCCCGGTGTTTGCCTCTGTGACGTTTCGCAGATCCATAAATGTTCGAGGGCCTGGAAAGCAGTCAGTCGAGAGGTCGGTTCCCTCTGCAGAAGGGAGCGAACGAAGTTCTTGCCGTCTTCGGACACGTTCTCCCACACCTGAAACGATAATAAAAGTGAGCAAGTGGGCGACCAGAGCCACATACACATGTTTACATTACCAAAATAGCAGCAAAGCAAGGTCGGGTTCCGATTACCGAGAGAAATGCGGGCGCCCCATCTGGGCCAGCGGCCTCACGGATTTATATATATATATATATAAAGAGGGAGATTGGCACAGTCAGGAAGTAAAAGGCCCGTTCCCACGCAGACAGGAAGAAACGATAATAATGCAGCCATCAACTATACCCCACCCTTAAAAAGGATGTCCTGAAAAGACACCTGGATTACCCGTGGCGCCATCTGACTTTAAAAAAAATATACGCACGTACCGTACGACTATAAATGTCGGATCTTCCTATTTAAGCTGTCAACGAGCGGAAAGATAGGAAGAATAATCAGAAAAGGCACTTGAAAGAAAGCGAATTGGTCAATGACGGGTGGGGGGTTCGGGTCCGATATTCGCTATCTATCAGCTCTTCGAATGTCCGAGAGAGAGGGGACGAACCCTCGATAAGATAAGATCGTGGGTTAAAATAAACAAAATTTCTGTTAGGTCAACCTCAGGGACACATCCCGAGCACAATGAACAAAAGGCAACACCCAATCTCGGGAATAGAATTTCGTCCCGCTCGACTTTCGAAAGAGAAAACTCGAGCAGTCGAATATATATCTTCCAAAATTTAACCTTTCGGAATGTCCTTATTAAACTCTCGTCTGAAGGCCTTTCGATTTATTTACTTTCTCCCCCCTTTGTTTTAGAGCGCGTGTAATCTCGAAAACGTGGATGGGTAAAGCGCACGAATTCCGACGAAAGGTTACGGCCTCGATGAAATCTTTCGAGTGAAACGGTTCAGGGGAACGCATGCGTCTTAGTGGGTGCCACACCCAAGATTTGGCGCCACATCCTCCGACCAGACACGAGAGACTCGGGTTCAAATGACAGGTCGTGATACAAGTCGGCATCCCCGGAAGGGGAGAAAATGGAAGCGTCCATACAAAACGTAAACAGCCACGCGCATTATAAGGGGAGCAACCACACCCGACCCTGAACACCCGTCAGTTTTTCTTCCTAAATAAATCTCTAACGCCTTATCCGGCGTGGAAGGAGGAAGGAAAAAAAATGGGATAATAAAACGCTTTGTTTCGTTTTATAATATTTTTATGGCGGTAACCCGACCCACCGAGCTTTTCTGAAGAATAATTAGCGGCGCTAAAAAATTAATTTCCACGAAATGACACCCACTTCGCCTTCCATTCATGTAAGCTGCAAAAGAAAAATAAAAACAACAAACAGAAAGAGGCACAGCTGAGGTCACACACTCGACTAGAACTGTTAAAAACATGAACACATTAAATGCCACCGTGTAGAAAAAATGGGTGCCATTTACCTGATTAGACATGGAGAAGCTACCCTTCAGGATCAACTTGAAGATCTGAGAGTCCTGTTCGGCATCGAATGGGAAAGTTCCACTCAGTAGAATGTAAGTAATGACCCCCACGGCCCACATATCCACGGAACAGGTGTAGGGCCTCCTAGCTACCACTTCCGGAGCGATGTAGTGTGGTACCCCGCAAACCGTGTGCATGTAAGGATTACCACTAGCCTTTCTAGTGCTGGCGAATCCGAAATCAGTTATCAAAATCCTCGAGTCGCTACCCGGATGGTAATAGAGAAGATTATCGGGTCTCAAATCGCGATGGGTGATGCCCAATTTGTGTAAGTAGCCCACACCATTCAGCACCATCTTCAGCACCCTTCCTGCTTCGGATTCGCAGAAACTTCCCTTCGTTTCTAGTTTGTCCAACAGGCTACCACCTGTGGCCAGTTCCATCACCATGTAGACCTTGCGGTTGGATTCGAACACCTCCACCAGCCTGATGACGTTGGTGTGGTTTATCCTCCTCAGCACGGACAGTTCGGCTTCGAACACTTCTCTACCTTCGGGCGATTCGATCATTTTGATGGCGTACGGTTGCTTGGTCACTCTGTTTTCCACCCTGACCACACGGCTGTAACTCCCCTTTCCGATCACCCCTTTGACGTCGTATTTGGCGGTTATCCTGGGGTCGTTGCAGCTTCGGTTCTCTCTCCTCCTCTTCTTCGATCTGCATTCTCCCGAAGTCCTTCTGTTGGGGCTCCTCCTCGATTTCTTCCTGCTCCTCTTGCTCTTCTGTTGCTGATTTCTTCCGATTTCCTTGGCCTGAGACGCGTGGAAAGTCAGAACGGGGGTGATCTTGGCATCGTTGTCGCCTCCAATGGAGTCGTCGTTACTCAGTTTGCTCTCTCGGCAACCCATCGAGTTAGGCCTAGCGCTAAGATTCGAATACGGCGAATAAAAATGTCCTCCTCTTGCGTTTCATGCCGGGAATACGTTTAAAATCTTTCCTTCACTGTTTCGATCGATCGATCGAGCTTACGGCCTTCCGATTTGACGATTTTTAAACATCGAACGAGACGCAGACGACATACCGACCGTACCGTACCTCGCCTGCTGCGAGAGTGTTCCTATCCTTACGGTTGCTATGGTAACGTACTCTCGCAACCGAAGACTTTCTCTCTTCCTTATCGTCCACTCTAAAAATCCACGTGTTATACAAACACTCGAAAGTGACAAAAACAGTCCCCCTACCGATTTCAGAAAAGTTTTTCCACTTCTCTAATGTTTATTCGGCAGTTTCAATATTAAAAAATAATTTCGATAAACGCTGGTTTGAGAATAAACGTCGTCATTTAAATGCAAATTTAAATATCTTCCGTCAAAAATTATTTAAAAATTTAAATTTATTTTCTATTTTTAATATTACTGTCAGCTTACTAATGAAATAAGCGCAATTACTTACATTCGGATATCTAATTAACATTTAAATTCTTCCCAAATGAAATAATTTAGATGTCCTTTATCCACAAGCACACAACAATCGATGAAAAAATTATTTAAAAATTTAACTCAGTAAAATTATATTCAAACACTTAGTGTTACCTATAAATTACAATAAATCAATACAGTATAGAATATCAAGTGTCATAATAACCAAAACTTATTAAAATTATACTACTAAATAACCATGAGACAATTTTTAATAATTACTTGTTTAACTTTTTAAATAGATTTTTTTCCTGTAACACCGAAAAGACTTTGTGGAATGAAGAGAAATATGTTGATCTTAATAAAGATTAAACCGGCCTATTTGATGAAAGAAAAGACACCATTTCGCTTTCCAGTTGACGTTGTTTATAATAAATCACAAATACATGTGCATTACTTACTTTAGATGTTTTTAAACTGTTTTTCTTTAAATGAAAGTTCAAGAATAGATTTAAAATTATGATTATTTTCTAATTATATGTGATTTATTATAAACTTTATGAATAGTTTTAAGAAAACACCGGAGAAAATATCTAATTTTGTCACTTGGGAATTAATAATTCCGTGAGGATAAGCATGCTATTAACATATTACTCAAAACTTAATTTTATAATAATGTTTGACATAAATTTAAATAAAAATCATCAAATATTTTCATATGTTATATAAATCTACTCAATATCATCTTACGGTTATAATTTTTTAATTTATCTATACAAACGAATAAATTTTATGAAAAATAGGATACATATCTTTTACGAAATTTATTTGTTTTTGATTTATCAATCTTTGTCACATAAATAAATTATATATTAGAATTTAATAATAAATATATTTTCGTTGTATTTGTGTAATAAGGTTTAACAAATCACTAATACTAATGCATACTATTCTATACAAATACCGTCATGTCCAAAAAAATAAATATAATAGTGCAATCCAACAGATAAAATAAAATAAAAGGGAAAAATTATGACTACACTTCTAGCAAATAAAAATCTAGGATATAATTGAAAGTTCCATTAAAAAAACACAAGTTTAAGCAAAATATGTAGGCTCCATGAACAGCAGAAGTATGGAACTACAGTCGACCCCCCTATAAGATAGAGAGACGTTCCATTCTTTAGGAATCCGATTTCTTACGAATCCTTCCAATCACAACCCGACACGTGTCAAGTTTACGGACTACGGCTGTTTGAATAATTTTCTTCCATAAAATTAATCGATTCTAGACTAATCCGACTCAACATTTCCAAAATACGTATATTTTTTGGGGGAATAATCCGTATAAACTACGCTATAAACAAAAAATTGTAGGATTACTTACCGAGTGTCACCATTCGACATCGCCATTGCTCAACATTGTTTTCGTCGCGGAACAGCTCAGCAAA